AAATTGTAAAAATTAAAATAAATAATATGTTTTATTGTAAAAAAGGTTATTCCAAAAACACATCTTGTTAGTTTGGAGACAGAATTACGTATGTGTAAAACGAAGTAAAATGTGGGCCTACGTGTTTGCAGCGGAAAATAGTGGAAACTGTATCGTCATTGGATGAGAGAACGGGATAGAGAGAATTTTAAGGGTTACAGTTATGAAGAATTTTCCAGCGATCATGCGCAAGGAACATAGAAAATTTTTAAATATGTAAGTCATCCATAATCAGACGGTTGAACAAAGTTGGATCAAAATGAAATATGTGGATCAAAATAAAAATATAGAAACATAATAAAACCAAGATAGAACAATGTAAAAAATTGTGAAATAGAGAATTATATTAAGAAAAAGTATAAATATTAACTGAAAAAGATAAAAGTTAAAAAAAAACAAGTTATTAATAATTAAAAAACAACAGATATATGTATATATAACGCAACACAATAATTGTACAAATGCATACACATACACAAAACATAACTAACATAAACAACCACATGCAAACATGCAATTACAACATATGTGTAAAATCCAAATATACACACAAATGCAACATACATGTATATCCACAAACATAAATATGTATATATGTACATATACACATACATAAATAAACGCATATATACATATATATATACATATTACATAAAAGAATTGTTACGAAGTATTGCGCATATTGAAAAAATTGTTCGAAGCATCGCGGTAAATATTGCAAAGAGAAGCCGAATCAAAACGTTTGTTAATAGTAGGTAATATTTGTATAAAAAATAATTTAAAATAAATTTTTAAGTAGGTAATATTTGTATAAAAAATAATTTAAAATAAATTTTTTTATACAAATATTACCTACTATTAACAAACGTTTTGATTCGGCTTTTCTTTGCAATATTTACCGCGATGCTTCGAACAATTTTTTCAATATGCGCAATACTTCGTAACAATTCTTTTATGTAATATGTATATATATATGTATATATGCGTTTATTTATGTATGTGTATATGTACATATATACATATTTATGTTTGTGGATATACATGTATGTTGCATTTGTGTGTATATTTGGATTTTACACATATGTTGTAATTGCATGTTTGCATGTGGTTGTTTATGTTAGTTATGTTTTGTGTATGTGTATGCATTTGTACAATTATTGTGTTGCGTTATATATACATATATCTGTTGTTTTTTAATTATTAATAACTTGTTTTTTTTTTAACTTTTATCTTTTTCAGTTAATATTTATACTTTTTCTTAATATAATTCTCTATTTCACAATTTTTTACATTGTTCTATCTTGGTTTTATTATGTTTCTATATTTTTATTTTGATCCAACTTTGTTCAACCGTCTGATTATGGATGACTTACATATTTAAAAATTTTCTATGTTCCTTGCGCATGATCGCTGGAAAATTCTTCATAACTGTAACCCTTAAAATTCTCTCTATCCCGTTCTCTCATCCAATGACGATACAGTTTCCACTATTTTCTGCTGCAAACACGTAGGCCCACATTTCACTTCGTTTTACACATACGTAATTCTGTCTCCAAACTAACAAGATGTGTTTTTGGAATAACCTTTTTTACAATAGAACATATTATTTATTTTAATTTTTACAATTTTCATAACTTGATGTTTTTTCAATTTTTTATTTCATACTTATTTTTTCGTTTACATTTTTGTGTTGTTCTTTGTGTTATATTTTTTTAAAAAATTTATTTGTATGGTGAGTTTCTTTACATATGTTTATTTTATGTTGTTTTTCATATATACTTTTCATATACATTGTTTCTACTTATTTTTGTCTGTAATTATGTATCTTTTATATTATTTTTTATATTGTTTTAATTTTTAACCCTGATATATTTATTTGTAGCACTGAAGATGGGTCAAATCTGGACCCGAAACGTATGTTCTCTTAATTAAAACATTTTGCATTAAAACTGTTTTTTTTTTAATTATTGGATGGATGCCCAAGAAACAATTTTTATCATATATATATATATATATATATATATATAAATATATATATATTAAGCGTCACTCATCATAAAAGCCGAAATTTCCAAAGTACTCTTGTTCAGCATTCCATCGAAAACTCACATAATTTCACCTTTGAACCCAATATTTTATATAGAGAGGATTGTACTTTTAAAAGACTTTTTTCTGAAAGCAGTTTAATCTTTTTGAATTCGTCAAAAAGTGTTAATAAAAGATCAGATCACAATATCATTCATGACTCATATTTAAATTTTTTAAACCTGATTAAAAATAATTAATCCTAATAGTTTTTGAATATGTGTATATATATACATGTATATATGTTGTAATATATGTACATCCATATATATGCTCATATGTATGTTTTTGGGTATACACTATACACATACACTTGCATATGTGTTCATGTGTATAATTGTGGATACATTAATATATGGATATGTGCATATGTATGTATGAGTATGTAGGTGTGCATATACATGTTCATGTATGTATGTATATATATATATATATATATATATACATAATATTTCTCAACATTTACTAAAGCAATATTTTTCCTTTTTTCGTAAATTACCAAACAAGAGCCATAAAAAATCATTTTTGCCAAGAGTTCCGTGCTTTGTCCTTTACATCTGGCAGACAGAAATCCATATCAGTGTGTTTAAGTCTTGTGTAGTCGTAACATCTACAAATATCTTCCAAAAAAATCGAGTGTTTTTAACAAAAAAATATTAGTGATATGGATATATAAATTATTACAGGTAAATAATTTTTGCTTCTCAATTTTATATAAAACCTTTTTTAGTTAAGTCTTATTACTATCTATCCGGTACATAATCCATTCCTTTATAACAAAATTTTTTTCTAATTAATCTGTATTGACCATTGTTAATTAATGTTAATCAGTATTTTAAAAAACATTGTATTTGACAGAATAAACCTGATGATGGAACGTACCTAGTTCCGAAACGTCGTATTAAACATCTTCAAAAAACAAATTGTTTTTTATTATTGGATTTACTGTTCGGAAAAGAAACAATCAATATAAATATATATATATATATATATATATATATATATATATAAATATATATATATATATATATATATATATAAATATATATATATATATATATATATATATATGTGTGTGTGTGTGTGAAATTTATATATATATATATATATATTATATATAAAAATGGATCGCAAAATGTGTTGGTAAGCGCATAACTCAACAACGTCTAGACCAATTTGGCCAATTCTTTTTTTTAAATATTTGTTGATGTCCAAGGATGGTTCTTACGGCGAGAAAAAATCGAATAATCGTCGGGAAAACCCTAAAAACAGCCCTTTCCTAACTAATACGAATAATCGTAGTCGGCTTCTCGATATTATTTCATTTGTTTTACTTTCGGCAAGCGACAAAATTGGCATGGCTTTAAAGAATTTGACTTCAAGTCATATAAGATTAAAAAAATCAATGTCAATGTCCATTTGCCGGTGCCGGTGGTGTTTTTTTGCATTTTCTGTTATACTCTAGAGTGTGCTTTTGTTTTGTTTGTAGTGTTTTGTTATCTATCTATGAATAAAAAGTTATTGCATGTAACACAATATTTTAATAATGTCTCCTACAGGACGAGGTAGTTTAAGTAGAAGAACACGAAACGCTACAAACCAAGCTAATCACCGATCTAATGGTACTGCACAAGAACATGATGTCCGAAATGAACATGAAAGAATTAGGATATGGGTTAGTAGTAATGAAGCAATTTGGTGAATATTTTCTTTTCCAATTCATGAGAGCTGTGCATTAAGAAAATGGGCAAAGGGTGTATTTTACAGCAGAGTACGTAGGTCAAAGAGCAGCTCAGCCACCATCTACTACATTAACAAGTTTTTTTGGGACATGTCAAAACAATAATTTTGCACAAACACTGCTATATTCTGAAATGCCAAAATAGTATACTTGGAATCAATCTTCAAGGAGGTTTATACGATGGAAAAAAAATGAAAACCAGTACCAGGATACCCAGATGTATATTCCACCGATGCGATTGGTCAAATTTATTCAGTACATCCAAGCAATAATGAATGTTTATTTGCGACTGCTATTAGTCAATGTACCTGGCCCAAAATTATTCCAGCATTTACGAAATGTTGATGGTGAGTTGTGTGGATCTTACAGAGAAGCCTGTCAACGTTTACAATTCCTAGAAAATAACGCTCATTGCGATCAAACTCTCAGTGATGCTGTAATATCTTCACACGCTCATCAAATACGAACATTGTTTTCTATAATGATATCCACATGCCTTCCATAAAACCTAATTGATTTGTGGATCAAGTACAAAAATTACATGTGTGATGATATTTTGTGTGAAATACGGAATAGAATGGGATATCCAAATATGCAAATAAAAGAGGAAATTTACAACGAAGCATTGATTTCAATTGAAGACATGCGCTTGATGATGTCAAACAAACTATTAATTTAATTAGGCCTGGCCACGCCTAATCGTCCAATGCATGATGCTTTTAACCAAAAGTTGCACAGAGAAAAACATTATGATCTCAACAATTTGAAAGAATAAATCTAAACAAATCTTCCACTGTTGTATGAACAACAGAGATATGTATTTGATACTCTTATGAAAGTAACAAATGATGGAACTGGGGGGATTCACTTCTTAGATGCACCTGGTGGTACAGGAAAAACTTTTTTGATTTCATTAATATTAGCAGCAATTCGCTCACAAAATGAAATTGCACTTGCACTCGCTTTATCGGGAATCGCAGCAACTTTGCACGAAGGTGGACGAACAGCCCATTCAGCTCTAAAATTGCCATTAACTATGCAAGGCAATGAAACTCCAACTTGCAACATTTCGAAGAACCGTGTAATGGCTAAGGTTTTGCAGCAATGTTAATTGATCGTTTGGGATGAATGCACGATGGCACATAAAAAAATCTTTCGAGGCTTTATACCGAACCTTAAAAGATATAGTGGTGCAATGATTTTATTAGCGGGAGATTTTCGTCAAACATTGCCAGTGATTCCACGATCAACGCCAGCTGATAAACTCAACGCATGTCTAAGGTCATCCAATCTGTGGAAAAATGTCAAAGTACTTCATTTAAGCAAGAATATGCGTGTTAAGTTGCAAAATGACCAATCTGGAAACATATTCTCTAAACAACTCATTGACATTGGTAATGGCAATTTTCCTATTGACATGTTGACTGAATGCATTAACTTTCCTCAAAATTTTTGTCATTTACCTCAATCAAAAAAAGAACTGATTCAGCAGGTATTTCCAGATGTTGCTCAAAATTACAGAAACCATGATTGGTTAAGCAAACGAGCTAAATTGGCAGCCAAAAACATTGATGTAAATGAATTAAATTTCAAAATTCAAGAACAAACTACAGGCGAATCGAAGATATATAAATTAGTTGATTCGGCAATTAACCAAGACGATGTAGTTAACTATCCACCGGAATTTTTGAACTCGCTAGATTTGCTCGGATTGCCACCGCACAATCTTTAATTAAAGGTAGGATCGGTAATAATAATGTTGCTAAATATCAACCAACCGCGCCTTTGCAATGGCACACGGTTAGCAATAAAAAAATTACTAAACAACGTGATAGAAGCAACTATATTGAAAGGAAAATATAAAGGAGAAGGTGTTCTCATTCCGCGCATCCCAATGATTCCGACTGATGTTTCCTTTTAGTTTAAACGACTACAGTTTCCAGTGCGGCTTGCTTTTGCTATGACCATAAACAAGTCTCAGGGCCAATCATTAAGTATTTTTGGCATTAATTTGGAGAACCCATGTTTCTCATATGGTCAATTGTATGTTGCCTGTTCTCCTATTGGAAAACCATCAGATTTGTTTGTCTAAGCGCCAGGCAATCAAACAAAAAACATCGTTAATCAAAAAGCACTACAATGAAAATATAACTGTTTTTTTATTGTTAATTATTATCATTATGATTTACATGATTAAAATTGCTTATTTAAATGCTTATAGTGTTTTATTTAATTATTTTTAATTCACAACAAATTATTACCAGGGTGACGGTTCTGTTCAGGATAATTTTTTGAAAAGAATTTAAAAAAGGTAGGAACAAAACACTGCCACATTACAATTTTTTTTGACGGGCGAAGTCTGTCGGGTCAGCTAGTATATATATATATATATATATATATATATATATATATGTGTGTGTAATAAATGTGACAATTCACATTTATTTATTTTTATTCATCAAATCAGTTGACAATGTCAACTTGACTTTTATAAGAACAAACTTCATATTACCAACTTTCAATGAAACAGTTATTTCAACTATCAGTTTCTTAACGTTGCCAGCGTTGAATCGTTAAAAATAACTATAGTTAAAAATTAACTAGTTATTTTACTAGTTGACGAATCCCCGATAACCGTTTCGTTTTGTTGACGGCAAAACCGTCAACGACCGGCCTCTAGTCTGGGTATGTCGGGCTCAATACCGCCCGGGTGTAATACCGCCTGAAACCTCCGCATTACTTCGTTGGAGAAAGATCTAGAATGTTATCATTTTTACCTTGTATTTATATTCATCTTTTAAATGGGCAAAGTCCCATTCACCCTTTTTCTTTCCAGAAAACATTGGTCAATTAGCACATCTCTCACAAATCTGTCTATGGCATTCCAAGCAGTTTCAGTTGTCAGCATCACTTCAACAACAGTATCTGAAGTAATTCTTCAGCTCAATATCTCTTCCACATCGTCCCGTAGAACACCAAATTGCGAGCACATGGAGAATACATGCTCAGCGTCTTCGATTTCGCCCAAACAATATGGGCCATCCGGCGAGCTATTGTGCTTGAGGCTGTGTAGCTAGTATTTGAGTAGTGTAATAATTCACTTCTCCATGCTTGCGATTTAGCCAGAATTTGATGTTTGGAATGAGAAGATGAGTCCATCTGCCCTTCAATGGGACATTTAAAAGTTGCTGCCATCGGTTAATGCTGTGCGCCGTTCTTTGATTCTCAACTTTTCAGGACTCAGTTATTGATGTCTTCGATGGTAAATTGTACGTCTTTTCTGTACTAAGACTAAGAGAAGCAGAGTTCCTGAAATGACGCACAATGCTTCCTCCGATATTGTGCGAAACGCGCAAGCAATTCTTGAAGCACTCAGACGATATAGATGCTGCATCAGCCTATATGGAGATAACTTATATATGCACCGAAGTAACCACTGATGATACTAATATACTTCTAATTTGTTTAGGCCCTCCAACATTAGGCATCAGTCGAGCAAGTCTTGTTCTAATTATTGACGTCCTTGACACTAACGTGTTCCACCTGTTGATCGAAGTTCAATCGAGCATCAAGCATTACGCGAAGGTAGCAGATATGAGTTTTGGCGTGATTTCTAGATTTCCTCTCTTTAGCTTGATGGTCTCTATTGTTTTTCTACTTGTGATAAGAACAGCTTCACTTTTTTGTTATGCTAATTGGAGGTTTATTGTTTCCAGCCAGCGATTAATTTTTCTAAAGGTTGTGTCAAATAGACTTACGATCTTATCAATTTGTTTAGAGACAACCGATCCAAAAAACATTCAATTCGTAACAATGAGGAAAAGTGGTGATTAGTTTTGGCAAAGGCAGGTCGAGCCGTTTTGGAGATCCGGGGCTAAAAGTGTAAAAAATGGCAAAATGAAAGTTTTCTTGACGTTTGAAGCTTTTCTGGACTAAATGAGACCAAATTTGGAAAAAGTATGTGTGTGTAAACCGATTTTTTGCCATAAATCGACGTTTTCTCAAAAACGGCTGGACCAATTTCAAAAATGTAATAGCCATTCCATGTATCTCGATGCAAACTATTGTTTGTCAGTTTCGTGCGACGATTAGCCAAGCCGTTTCTTTATGAATAGCAGAAAAGTGAAAAAAGAGGAGGCCGTTTTCTTGTAATAAAGTGTTAAAAAACGATTTTTATTATTATTTATTTTGACGGTAGATACCATAGTCTTATAGATAATACTAAAATATTACGGCCCTACGACAACTCGTTTAACTCTAAAAATTCGTCAAAGCTTGCTAAAATTTGTATCGTTTTCTCGACATTTGTCAAAATTAGACCTTTCATCGACGTTAGCTCAAAAATGACTGAACCGATTTCAGAAATTTAAAAGCCTTTAGATGCAGCTCGATGAGGATTATCGTTTCTCAGTTTTGTGAGGCGATCGGCCGAGCCGTTTCTTTGTAATTTAGAAAAAAATGTTGAACGTTTTGTCCACATTAAAGCTCATACTACCGAACCGATTTAAAAAAAATCAAAAACTTTCGAAAAAGATCATATTATAGACATTCCGCCTAGTTAACAATTCTCACCAAGCTCGTATGAATAACATTTTGTTTAATCAGCTAAATTCATTACTTTGTCCTTTTCGTTGCATAGAATATTCGAGACAAATCCCCACTACGTTTCGAAGGATTTTAGTTTTAATAATTATGAAATAAATCAGTCTTAATCTGTCGGTCGCCGGGCAAACACTTCTCTTCCAATACCTCCGAGTTCCTTGTACTAAAAGTGTAATAAAATGAAGTTTTTGAAATAGTCTTTTCATTTATCAATCTCAAGTATTTTCAGCAAGTGAGTTTTCAGAAACTCCGGAAGGTCCAGAGCAACAACACCGATTTGCATATAGCGGCGCCAACAGCCCTTTCTGTTCATCAACGCGGTGTCCAACATTTTTTTGGTGGCAGCGGTGTTTGACTGCCAACATTTATTTGGTGACAGCGGTGTTTGACTGATGAAGTAACATTCAAACTTTTTTTTGTGAGCTTGAAAAAACGGCGTTTGAAAAATAATTGCCAAGAGTGACAAAAAATATAAGGGTGATACTTCAAACTAAGCAGTACATCGTGGAAAACTTTGCCTCCGAGGATAGCCTTGCCAAAAGTGGACGTAGTTGATGATCAGAAAACCGAAGACTCAAAATATTGAATAAATCAAGACCCGAAGTATAAAATAATTCAAGACCCGAAGTATAAAATAATTCAAGACCCGAAGTATAAAATAAATTAAGACCCGAAGTATAAAATAATTCAAGACCCGAAGTAATAAAATAATTCAAAACCCGAAATAAAATATAATTCAAGACCCGAAGTAAAATATAAATCAAGACCCGAAGTAATAAAATAAATCAAGACCCGAAGTACAATAAAATAAAAAAAATCAAGAAACAAGAATACGAATCAAGAATTAATAAGAAAAATCAAGAAAACTCTAGTTTATAGCAGAAATCAAAATTCAAAAATCAAGAAAAATTGTTAAAAAAATCAAGAAAAGTGTAAAGTTATAAAATCAAAAAATAAAAGTGTTAGAAAATTTCAGTGCATATTCGAGTGTTAGTGCAACATTGCAAGTCCCTTGAACTACTACAAGTACCGGGCCAAAAGGAAAATATTCAGAAGGATTCCAAGTTAGTAAACTAAATTTAAATATTTTGTATATTGTAAATTTTTGCCCTTCTGTTTTACTGTATTTTTCTTATTTTTTTTTTTCTTTTTTTCCTTTTCAATCAAATAAATAATGATGAATAGCACAATTGAATCAATTTCTGATGCAAGATTTTGTTTCCAAACGGCAATTTCTCTAATTCCAACTTTTGACGGGTGTACAACAATATATATATATATATATATATATATATATATATATATCTTATATATAAAAATTGAGCTCGATGAAATATTAGGTATAGTAAAACGTTAAAATGGCTATACGGATTTGGCCAGTCTTAGTCTTAAAAAAATTGTGCTAACCCATAGGTTGTGAGAAAGGTGAGATATTATTCCAAAATCGCGCAGAAAGTTTAAATTTTTTATTTGAAATTTTCTGTGGAAGCGTAATTTAAATGAAACAGCAGACGGCGGCTCATTCGTAAAATGTCAAATGGTTTGACATTTTCAAATAACTGTAAAAGGGTATTTTAAATGAATATTTTGAATTTAATTCAATCTGTAATAGTTTGAAAATATTATATAGATTTTATACCAATCACAGTGTTTTTATTAAATTTTGATTGGGTGTGTTATGAGCACGTAATTTGTACGTATCGCGATAAACTGTGATAAAATTTAACGTGTTTTCTCGCCAATTAATTCCGCGTGGTTGTTTTTGTAATCTAATATCGGAGACGGTGGTGCATTTTTTTGAAACCAGAGAGCTGACTTCAATCTTTTGGTGTTTTCTATGAAGCAGCTTATTTTTCTTGGACATCCGGCACACCAGATCAATTTTCTGATAGATCAGCAACTGAAATTATCTTCGACTAATATTAAGACTCGTTATTTTTGGTAACTTGGTATTTGCATCCAGAGTGCTGACTTTATCTCTTTATAAAAAAAACAGCTACTACTAGAAACATTCCGCTGAATCCAGGGTGCTGACCTTGAGGGTCTTCCTGTAGAGAAGCTCATACTTTCCTGGGCCAATTTCACGCTTACGGTTGTAGTTGTTTATTTTTGTTATATATTTGTAACTTTTCTGATTATTATTTGCTGTTAATATTTGTTCTTAAAATTTTGTATTTGTCATAAGTTAAGCGTTACTCAATTTTAAATTGCTTAATTACTATTCTTCGAATGTTATTTAATTGAATAATATAAGCATAAACATTGAGTAGTAACTATATTGATGAATTTGTAACAGTTAACGCGTCAGGTATTAGATAGTTTGTTTAATAAAGTGTTCAATTATTGGAAATTATAATCAGTCAGATTTTAAAAATAAAATGGCAGAAATGAAAAAACTTAAAAAAATTAAAAATTACTTTGAGAATTTATTGAACACAAATTTTAATGATGAACCAATTAATTTACTAAAAAATGTGAAAAAACGTCTTGATGCAAAATTTTTAGAATTCGAAAAAATATGGAATAAATTCGATGACTATTCGGATGATTATTCAGATAAGACGTCAGTGATTCAAACATTATATGAAAACGTATCGTACAAAATTGACAGATTAATAGCGGATTCATCTAATCTAGCAAAATTTAAAGTTAACTCCCGAAGCGCAAATAAAACTGCATATACATATCCCGCAATTTAACGACTCTTATAAAGATTGGACAGGATTTATGGACTTATTTGTATCAACAATTAATAACAATAAATCATTAACCGATGTCCAAATATTGTATTACTTAAACGGACACCTTATTGGGGATGCCGCTGAGACAATTAATAATTTGCAACTAAGCGACGCTAATTACAAATTAGCGTGGGATACATTAACAAGTAAATTTGAATATAAATGTGTCATAACTTATACATATTTACAGCAATTTATTGATTTTCCGAAACTTTTAAACATAACTAAAGATACATCAAAAACATTCATTCATTCCGCTCAGCAAATTATTAATTCCCTCAAAGCTTTGGACATCGGTGTCGATAACCGGCTACCTTACATTTATGCTATTGAATAAACTGGATTTCTCTATGCGACTTAAATTCAATTCTAATAGAGCGCACAAAAATCTGCCGACCCTTACAGAATTATTTACCTTCCTCGAACAAAGTCGGGCGGCGTTAGAAATTTCTTACGGTATTGAATCGAAAGTTGATCATAAAAATATAGTTGTAAAGAAGCGTACATTTGTTACAAAAGAAGAAACAATATCGAAATTATGCCCAAAACTATGCTGAGAAATCCATGTCATTAATTATTCCACTACCAAATGGAGATTTTAATTAATAAATTTACTTAATTATGTTAGTTCTACTACTTTTATTAAATATATCATTGTTAAATCCTTATCAATTATGTTAATTAAGAAATCTAGGATTAAGATAGGATTTATTTGGCTTTATTTCTAAAAAATATATTTCTCAATAGTAACAATATGCCATGCAACTAACATTACTATACTAATAATAAGCTTTGTTTAGAAATATTAACTATATTAATATTACTGTATAACATATATACAGTAACTATAGGAAATAATATGAAGAATAAATTTAATTTTTTCTAGGCGCAATATGGTCATAATATATTCTGACGGTTTGACATTTTCAGAGCACCGTGCCTTGGCGCCGGGTTTTGTGTTACAATTCTTAGAATATTGCAGCCTCTGGCCTGTGTCATTCGCACAACGGCTCATTTTTTTTGTATCTAAATACTTCCTAATAACATTTAAAGTTAGTCTAGACTAGTGATGGGCGTTGAATCAACGAACGGTCATTTTCAACCGTTTCTTCTTTGTTAACAAACTAACCGTTTCGTCACAACGAAATAACTAGTTGAAAATCAACTGGTTTTGAAATAGTTGAAAACATGGCGGACAGTTAGTTATTCAACGATATAGAAATTCGTTCGTTGTCGAAAACAAACCTACCAGGTACCTAAAACCTAGGTCTGACGTCAGAAAGGATCAACTAATACTATGAAAATCGCTTATTGTTAGGCTACTGCATTTTTAATATTGCAGATGTACGGGTACATATTAAAAGAAACTTGCAACATGCGCCAAATCGTTTAATTTTAGAAAATCAATTACATTTGTTATAGTTTTTAATGGTTAATATTTTTTCATAAAATTCTCATAACATAACCTGAAAATTGATTTTTTATTTTTCATAACATTTTTATATAACTATATATTTTTATATTGCTATTTTTATATAACATGTAAATTCGATGTTTTAGTATATGGCTTTGCTGTAACGAAACTATTTAAGTTTTTTAAATTAAACCTTAGTATTAATAATAATAAACGTGAAATATATATATATATATATATATATATATATATATATATATAAAATAAATGTGACAATTCACATTTATTTATTTTTATTCATCAAATCAGTTGACAATATCAACTTGACTTTTATAAGAACAAACTTCATATTACCAACTTTCAATGAAACAGTTATTTCAACTATCAGTTTCTTAACGTTGCCAGCGTTGAATCGTTAAAAATAACTATAGTTAAAAATTAACTAGTTATTTTACTAGTTGACGAATCCCCGATAACCGTTTCGTTTTGTTGACGGCTCAATACCGCCCGGGTGTAATACCGCCTGAAACCTCCGCATTACTTTGTTGGAGAAAGATCTAGAATGTTATCATTTTCACCTTGTATTTATATTCATCTTTTAAATGGGCGAAGTCCCATTCACCCTTTTTCTTTCCAGAAAACATTGGTCAATTAGCACATCTCTCGCAAATCTGTCTATGGCATTCCAAGCAGTTTCAGTTGTCAGCATCACTTCAACAACAGTATCTGAAGTAATTCTTCAGCTCAATATCTCTTCCACATCGTCCCGTAGAACACCAAATTGCGAGCACACGAAGAACACATGCTCAGCGTCTTCGATTTCGCCCAAACAATATGGGCCTTCCGGCGAGCTATTGTGCTTGAGGCTGTGTAGGTAGTATTTGAGTAGTGTAATAATTCACTTCTCCATGCTTGCGATTTAGCCAGAATTTGATGTTTGGAATGAGAACATGAGTCCATCTGCCCTTCAATGGGACATTTAACAGTTGCTGCCATGGGTTAATGCTGTGCGCCGTTCTTTGATTCTCAACTTTTCAGGACTCAGTTATTGATGTCTTCGATGGTAAATTGTACGTCTTTTCTGTACTAAGACTAAGAGAAGCAGAGTTCCTGAAATGACGCACAATGCTTCCTCCGATATTGTGCGAAACGCGCAAGCAATTCTTGAAGCACTCAGACGATATAGATGCTGCATCAGCCTATATGGAGATAACTTATATATGCACCGAAGTAACCACTGATGATACTAATATACTTCTAATTTGTTTAGGCCCTCCAACATTAGGCATCAGTCGAGCAAGTCTTGTTCTAATTATTGACGTCTTGACACTAACGTGTTCCACCTGTTGATCGAAGTTCAATCGAGCATCAAGCATTACGCGAAGGTAGCAGATATGAGTTTTGGCGTGATTTCTAGATTTCCTCTCTTTAGCTTGATGGTCTCTATTGTTTTTCTACTTGTGATAAGAACAGCTTCACTTTTTTGTTATGCTAATTGGAGGTTTATTGTTTCCAGCCAGCGATTAATTTTTCTAAAGGTTGTGTCAAATAGACTTACGATCTTATCAATTTGTTTAGAGACAACCGATCCAAAAAACATTCAATTCGTAACAATGAGGAAAAGTGGTGATTAGTTTTGGCAAAGGCAGGTCGAGCCGTTTTGGAGATCCGGGGCTAAAAGTGTAAAAAATGGCAAAATGAAAGTTTTCTTGACGTTTGAAGCTTTTCTGGACTAAATGAGACCAAATTTGGAAAAAGTATGTGTGTGTAAACCGATTTTTTGACATAAATGGACGTTTTCTCAAAAACGGCTGGACAAATTTCAAAAATGTAATAGCCATTCCATGTATCTCGATGCAAACTATTGTTTTTCAGTTTTGTGCGACGATCAGCCAAGCCGTTTCTTCATAAATAGCAGAAAAGTGAAAAAAGAGGAGGCCGTTTTCTTGTAATAAAGTGTTAAAAAACGATTTTTATTATTATTTATTTTGACGGTAGATACCATAGTTCGTTTAACTCTAAAAATTCGTCAAAGTTTGCTAAAATTTGTATCGTTTTCTTGGCATTTGTCAAAATTAGACCTTTCATCGACGTTAGCTCAAAAATGATTGAACCGATTTCAGAAATTTAAAAGCCTTTTGATGCAGCTCGATGAGGATTATCGTTTCTCAGTTTTGTGAGGCGATCGGCCGAGCCGTTTCTTTGTAATTTAGAAAAAAATGTTGAACGTTTTGTCCACATTAAAGCTTATACTACCGAACCGATTTAAAAAAAATCAAAAACTTTTCGAAAAGTATTAGTTGGGTGTGATACTGATTCCCTAGTAGAAATGAATCGTGGCGCAATATTGTACTTTTTATGGGCTCTATATTGTTTACCAATATTGCTATAATATTATTCTGTTAACATTTTCCCATATAAATCCAATATTAAAACCAATAAAGGCCGCCATATAAAACCAATATTGATAAACAATATTAAAATCCCATTCAAAACCAATATAAGCTCAATATTGAGAACCAATATAAGATTAATATAAATAAACAATATTTACCCTATATAAAAAACCAATATAAGCTCAATATAAATAAACAATATTTACTCCAAATTCATAATTATTATTTAACCCACATTTAAAAATATTATTTAATTTATATAGAAAAACAGTATTTAACTCATTGATAATAAAAGTTTATTTATTCTAAATGAATACATACATTTTTAAATAGTTTATGTATTGAATCTTGATATCTTTATTAACAATTTACACATTATTTTATGATAACAAGATACAAAACAATCAAAATATTTTCAGTCATTATAATAATTTAGAGGATTTTAATGATAAATCATATTCATAATTTTTGTTAATCCTATCGCCGTAATTGTACAAAGACCAAGCCATTCAAACAATTTGCAGACTTAATTATTATTTCGATGGTTTTTTTTATTTTCACACATGTTTTAACATTTTCTTGAATTCGATCATGATTACACCTGAAATAAGAAATTAATAAATTTTAATTAATATTTTATAGCAATATTTTCGAAATATATTGATTTTATAAACTCATAAATTCAATTACTTAGCTTTTAGCAAAAAAAACATTTCAGGCATTATTTTGCAGTAAATATAATTGTAGTTTATCTAAAACTCATATTTTCTAGAACTCTATCACAGTCAAATCTGAAATGATTAAAAATACAGTAAATAGAAAATTTTAACATTAATTTAAAACAGCACAATTATAGTTTTAAATTAAAACAAAAAAACTATTGTTGGAAATACGAATACCAAATATTCAAAAGCGATAATAAGTTCTTGAAAAGTCTTCATTTAGTAAGTTTGTTAATATTTTTATTACCTTTCACCAAATCCATTCTTGCTATGTTATAGTTTTTATATTACAGCTGATTTTACATCCATTTCAATTTAGTCAATCTAGAATATATAAAATACATCATTGTTTACTAAATATGTATGTTGATTTATATAAGTAATAAATATACTTACGTGCTTTAAATATAAAACTCAAAATTATGTAATTTAACCGCTTAATTTTAATTATAAACTGTTCACAAAATAAGTTTTTAGCAAATTATTACATATTTGATATCATAGATCATTTTATTATTCACTAAATATTCACTCAAAATTCACGAACTAAAAATAAGACTTACTATATATTATGAATATTTTTTAATATTATAATAAATTCTAAATTCAACAAGAATTGCTAAACGCACTGCGTAACAAATTTCAGTCTACTGAAAATTACGAAACTCTGCTTGGCTTGCGCTTTGTTTGATGGTGTAGGTGTAGCATTGTTAATCAAAGGGCGGTTTTTATGTTTTTGTATTTTATGTTACGAAGTATACGCTCATTAATTTGTCGTTATTAGTTTATTCAGTGTAGTAGTCAT